TGAATATTACATACCGCAGTGATAAATTTAACAAAATCTCTTCGAAACGATAGTCTACATTTCAAAAACCATACAGCAATTACATGATGAGCCAATGATACTGTATAATGATTATATTTAAATGGATTAGTATATGGCAATAGTATAGCAAATACAGACATATGTTGATCTCCAATGAAACTGGCAAAAACTTTTGGTAATCTAGTAAGAGCTAAAACAATGTTTTACATATATATAAATTACATATTATTTTGATATAAAAAAAGGATATAATATTTAAAGATTTAATTTTATAGTTTTTATACTCACTAGACAGAAATTCCAATATAGGAATAGCAATGTGGACTGTAGCTGAGATTTTTGTTAAGATTGAAAGTACTTCAGTTAAAAGCTTATTCATAGCACCACGCATTTCTAAAGTACAAGTCGTAAGGCTAGTAACACACTGACTAGCACATTTTGCCGTTAAACCAATCTATTTTCCAAATCAAACAAATATTTGTATATGTTAATGACTTAATACAACACGGACACGCACGTGCGCACTTATATATAATGCTATATAGTCATGTATAATACCTCTAAACATTTGATTAGTCTTTGCTGTAAATTAGATTCTAAGTAGGCATGATACGATGACAAAGATGCTAAAACCGGAAAAACATAAACTCGAAATTCAGACAGAGTAAATTTAGGTGGTGCATTATACAAAGATTCTGGTAGCTTTAAATTTCTATCACTAACCTGTAAAATATTAGATATTCATTATTATTAAGAAAAAAGAAATATATATGTGTATATTAAAATGTGTTACCATGGAACACAATGCTGTAGCAAAGAAATCAATATCATTCGTATGCCACGATAATATCAAAGCTCTGTTTTGCATAATTTGTGGTAATTCTTTTAATACAAGTTGTAAAACTTTCCAATCTGTAATATATAATGCGATTAACGAATAACGATTAGAATTCATTTTAATCATACAAATTAATTGAAATTCGAACCTTTTTCTTGTTTTATACAAGAAATAACAGCTTTACAAGCATACGTTAAAGACATATGAGTAATCTGACAAGAAGTATGCTGCAATGGTGCAGGACTAACAGGTGGAGGACTGCTACTACCACCAGCATTACTAATTCTTTCTGAAGAGGGATGTTCCAGTACTAAGTAAGGACTGTAACGTATTACTGTAGCATTTGATGGGTCCAAGAAACCAAGATGATACAAAGTGTTTGATCTGATTTTTAAAAAGCAGTCAAAAATCTAGATTAAACAAAAAATACATTAATACATTATAAGTTATTAAATAGAAGGAAAAGTAGTTTTCTGTCTCACATACCAGATATCTAATTGTAGATACATTATGAAAAATAGAGGGATCTTTATAATGCTGCTCAAGATGATTTACTAAAATTTTGTAAGCACAAATGGCATGACTCGATGGCAAATGATACATCTTAAAAGTAAGTATTTTTATTATACCAACAACAGCTGTTTTTATATCCTTTATATCAGCGTCAATTGATATTAATGTATCTGATGTAAATGGTCTATTAATTATCTATAAATAAAGATATTTATGTGTAAGAAAAACATTGAAATACTTGCTTATTGGAGCTAGATTATTACTATTTCTATAATTATTGTTGTTTATGTTATATCATTGTATTAAATAAAATAGAAATGAATATAGTAGTTATTATATGAACAGTTAATTACCTTTTCTAATATATCTAAAAATTCCAAACATCTTTTAGTCTCGCACTCTAAACAAAGGTCCACAAGAAGATATGCGGCAACATTACGGATTGTAATATCTGGATCCATATCAACGTGTTGCAAATATGGCACAACTGTACGTTCTATTAACTCATCTTCGTATTGCGGCCTAAAATTACAAGATACATTGCTCTATTCAAAATTCTGTAAATATAAAAATTAATAATACCTATTAACTTGAATCACATTAGCTAATACATTAAGAGCTTTTACTCTTATATTAGTGCGCATATCTGTTTTATAATAAAGTTCCATTAGTGATAATAGTCTAGATTGCCAATGATGGTGCATAGGATTTATTCTAGAAGCTCTGTATTCAATTAATTTTAAAACCGAAGATTCCTAGAAAATATAATTAATAATAAGCATATTATTTGAAGCTTTATTTTAAAATATTTTTTCGCACGAGAAAAAATTATTACTTACAGAGCGTACGTTACTGCAACGTTCTACAAGATTATAAAATCTTTCTACATAACCATTGTAATGATTAATATCAAGCAGATTTTCAATATTATTTATTGTTTCGTGCAAACTTATCGATACTTGTTTGGTGGCTGGTTGATTACTAGTTTCTGAACAAAAATAATAACATCCAGTTCTAATTTCTCTTTCTTTTGTAAATCCAAAATTCATATAAAAATGAAAATATTATGTATAAATTACCAGTATGTACAATTATATCTTCTATGATATCAAGGATAATGCTCCATGTTGGTTCATGAAGTTCAGCACCACATTTATTTACTAATCTTTGAATCGATAATGTAACTTCATACATTACAATTGGATGATTGCATTGTAAAGCCTTGGAGAGATAGTTATTTTTAATATATACTTTTAAACTTTTGAATAATCATTATTAAATTTTTATTTATGGTATATATTTACCTGACGAAATGATGGTAGAACTGATGTCGGCGTACAAACTAATTTAGGAATTCTATGTGTACCCCATAGTCCCATATTGACATAAAAAACAGCACCTCTAAGGAGCCGTACGTCACGTTGAAAATTTATATCTTGTAATAAACGACACATTGTATATAATGCAGAATGTCCCATATGAGTACCCAATAAATTTCTCATTATCTGCATTTATATATATAATAGTAAATAATAAAACATTTTTCTTAGTAAATAATAGATTAACCAAAATAGCGTAATAACAAAAATTTATCTTTAATTCACTTTACGTACCTTCCAACTTATCTGACAATATGTTTCAACATTGACACTTCTGCATAACGCTATAATAAACATCTGTAATGAGTCTGGTTGTAAATTACTGTAGCATACTATTGCATCAAGAACCTCTAAACATCCTGAGACTACATCTGTGTTATTACTGTAATAACATAGATGACAAATACACCTAAAATGTACAAGTTTAAGAAGAAATTTTACATGAAATATTAGAAAAAGTAGAAATTCTATTAATAGAGAGATTATTATATTTACTGAATAAGACCCGATACAATATGTTCATCGATGTAAGCAGAATTAAATTTAATGATGTTAACTAAGAGTGATAGAAATTCAGCACCCCGATTACCATCATCGTTAGTTACCGTTGGTAGCCATTCTAATAAAAATGGGCCCATTCTTTCCTCCAAATGTAAAATATCCTTTCCATTTTCTGTTAAACTTTGAAGTAATTCTAACCTAATATACATTAATTGTCATCATTTATTACATATTATATTACACTTTTTAATATAATAATATAAATCTTCAAAAATAAAGAATAAAAGAAGAAAATATGTCGAAAATGATTTTTCTGTTACCTAGGTCCAATATCTTCAGGAATATTATGATCTTTTACTACCATGAAAAATTTTACTCTCATTAAGGCAGATAATTTGGAATATTGACCTTGTACAAGACATCTTAAAAAATTCAATGTTACATGTCTATGTTCGCGTGGTATATCCTTTCCCAGTAAATCTTGAACTAAATTCCATAAACGTTCAGCTGCTCTCTAATAAAAAGTAATAATATATATATGTATAATTTATCTTTACTATTTAAATATATATACAGAGTGGTAAAAAAAAGGATCCGATAATTGAAGAATTTATAATACTTATCAAGAGGAGTGCAAAATGTCTTAATAACATGAATTCTAAAGTCAACCTTTTCAATGTAATAAATTAACTTTAATTATTTATAAGTATTAAAGTTTCAAGTAAGCGAGTCTCTTGGCAACATATATAATGTACACAGGGGAATTTCTTTGGAAATACACTAGTTCAAGGAATATTCGAAAGTATATGTCAATCTATGATCCATGGATATTAGAATTGCATTCAAATGAAAAGAGAACATGTCGAATATTTGTGATTTGTACATATTATGTTTGTGTCTACGAAGAAGTTATCTTGACAGCCTTGACTAATATATTTCTAAGCAAATATAATAATAATAAGAATAATAATTTACATCTTCCCATTGTTGATTAAGTACTGCGTCACAAAGATCTTTAATAACTTTAGTACGATGATGTACCGGACTGTCAGGACTAATTTCTTTTTCAATGTCGTGTGACAATGTAAAATCTTCGCGACTTTTATAATTTCCTAAAAAATAATATATTAAGAGTATATATTATTTAAGTAAATTCATTAAAATATATATATTAGCTAGTTATATATATATATATATATATATATATTAACAATTTATAAATTATGAAATTAAATATGATTTTATTAATTAACAAGTATATTTTTAAGATATCAATAGTTCTCAATAAACAAGTGAATGTAGAAAACCTGTTTAAGATTGATATTTACAATAATATTCGAGTTTAATTTACCTTTATTAATACGAAAGAATTGCTTCAATTTGTCGTGTAAAGTCTTATTATCCTTGTCCTTTGAACTCATTTTTGATAATTCGGATTGTTAACTGAAACATACAGAATGAAACGAGTTTCAAAGGACTTTCATTGTATTATATCGTATAACATTGGATATGTCAAAAACAAATCTAAATCATGGAATATGTATTTTATAGGTTGTACAATCAATGTGAAATTTAGAATTGAAAAACTCGGAAGGTAATAAGAAATACAGAGGTGGCGCCGCAGCTTGGAATAGCGAATAAAAGGAAGAACGAATAGATATGATATAGCTCTACGCGTTATGTAGAGACATAAAATGTCGGTACATTATATTTACAATTAGTTTTTTATGGAAAAAAAATTATGTTTTCACGATAAATATTAATAGTAGATTGAACAAAATTATTTATAATATTTTTTCTTTTATTTTCAATTTTTTTTCATAAAATTAAATCGAAAGAAATCTAAACGTAGATATGAAGACTTCAACAATATTTCGAAGGTACATAATCAAAATTGCACGTTACTTACGATTATAAGGAATATCTGTTTAGATTTCATTAGATTTTCAAAATTGTAATTATTTATATCCAGTAATATTATGAAATATACATTTTGAGAAGTTGTAACATATTAAAATATTTCTTTACGTGACACTGAATGTAAATAAAAAGGTGTGAATAAATAAGGATCTGCGATAATTGGTCAAAATTCAGGCGGTGATTATAAAGAGTTTATTTGAGCAACATTGATTTCATTGATATTTGATTATAATGATTACGTATTAGATGATCATATATTTTATTGCCTACCACACATCACTTATTCTACCACAAGAATAATAAGTCACGTATTTTTATTTATTTTGCCTTTTGTTACTGAAAATATAACTTTTTATATTTTATTTCTAACCTTATTCTAACATAGTTTTATATTGGACAATATTTATTTATACATTTGAAACGAACTTTTCAAAATGATGCAACAATATATGAAAGAATTGGAACAAGTGAGTTTATGATTATATACGTATCCATATATATATATGCATATGTAATATAAAATGATATATATTATCATTTCTTTAGGAGCCTTTTGATCCAGAAGAATTTGTTGAACGTCTAGCTTGGAGGACCGTTAATGATAAAACAAAAGATGGAAGCAAAGCATTTTTTAATCCTGTCATTGTACATGAGACTTTCTTACAAGCTATTAAAGATTTACAAATTTTAGAAGAACGTCAGCAAAAGAAGTGCGACAAGTTAGAAGCTGCTTTAAAGGATGAAGAAGCTAGGCACGCTTTTGAAATATTAGATTTACAAGAAAGAAATAAACATTCGATTGACTTGTTTCATCAGTTAGACGAAAGAATAAATTCTGTTGCTACAAAAGTTCTTCATTTAGGAGATCAATTAGAAAGTGTTAATATACCAAGAGCTAGAGCAGTTGAAGCTCAAAAACTTATGCGTTATTTCTCAGAATTCTTAAGTCCTGGACCTTTAACTGATACCATTTTTACAGATAAAACTTCAGTAAGAGCATTATGCTTAAAAACTATTATTATTATTATTATTATTATTATTACTATTATTATTGAAAAGCAAACTTTTTCTTTATGTTACTATTTGCTTATTTCAGTTAGATGAAGCAGCAGATGTGATTCAGAAATTGCATCTTATTGCTCAAGAGTTACCCGCAGACAAATTTGAACATGCAATGAAAAAGATAAGCATTAAATATGATGAAATAGAACGTAATCTTATAGAAGAATTTGTTCAATCACACAGTCGAGAAGATGCAGTTAGAATGAAAGAATTAGCATCTGTATTATCTCAGTTTAAAGGCTATTCACAATGCATTGATGCATTTATAGAACAAAGTCAAATGGGTTCATTTGGTGGGAAGGATGTGTTTCAAGACGTAATACCAATGTGTACAAAATATAATAAATTAATGGAACAAGTATTTTCTAATCCAGAACAAGTAATGGCAAAATTCGTTCTTAACATCTATCATCTACGACTTCAAAAATATGCTGTTGCTAAGTTGGCCGATAAAACTGATTCTGATAAGTATCTCAAAAATTTACATGATTTATATGGAAGAACTGTTAAATTATCAAATGAATTAAAAATGTTTAATATGGGTACTGATGATAGTTACCTTAAAAAATTAACTAGAAATATATTTCAAAAATATTTAGATACTTATATCACGTAAGTTTATATTTTTACAAATGTTATGAATATACAAACAATTAATCCATTTAATATGTTTTAGTACTGAAATGAAAGCATTACGAGAGAAATCAGCAACTTTATTAATTGAATATTATGAATCCAAAAATCACCAAAAAAAGCAACTGCAAACAGGTAGTTTTCAAGAATTACGTCGTGATTTGCAAGCTGCGCTTGCAGCAAGAACAAATATAAATATTGCACAAATAGAAGATTATGGTGGAGAAACATTTCTTTCGGAAGAGTTGGCCATTGCACTTTTACAAAGAAGTAAAATGGCTTTTCAAAGATGCCAATTATTATCACAACCCAATGATTTATCTGTAAATGTGGTTCAAATTTTTGAAATATTCTTACAATACTTGATAAATGAACACGTTGATTATGCATTAGAGCTTGGGTTGCAAAGCGTACCAATACCAGAAAGTAGAACTCAACCAGAAATACATTTTTTCAATGTTATGCATCAGTGCAATGCAATAGTTCGTCTTTTGGAAGAACAATTTAATGATAGTGTGCTTCCTCTCATTATGTAAATTTCTCTCTTTCTCTCTCAAGTTTATCAATAATTTAATATTTAAAATAATAATTGAATTTTTTAACTTAAAATTATTTTTTCAGAGGTACAGCTAAACATGGAGAATGTATATTAAAAAAAAAAGTTGTATTAGATCAAATTAATATGAAATTAGATACTGGTTTAGAAAGAAGTATAAGTGCCATTGTTGGTTGGGTTAAGATATACTTACAAAATGAACAGAAGAAAACTGATTTTAAACCTGATACCGATGTAGATACTTTAAGTACTCCAGCTTGCCTAACAGTAGTGCAATATGTAACAGGAATGATACGTCAGATTAGAAATACCCTAGATGGCAAGAACTTGGAAACTGCTTTAACAGAACTTGGAGTTCGTTTTCATAAAGTCATTTATGACCATTTACAACAATTTCAATTTAATTCTGCTGGTGCAATGTGTGCAATATGTGACATGAATGAATATAGAAAATGTGTTAAAGAACTTGACGTTGATATGGTTACATCATCATTTGATACATTGCATGCATTGTGCAATTTACTTTTAGTAAAACCAGAAAATTTAAAACAAGTATGCTCTGGAGATCAATTGGTACATATCTCTTTTTTATCTAAAACTATATGGAATATTTTAGTAACCACATATTACAGATATATTGTTATAATTTCTATAATTTTTTTAGGCTGTACTTGACCGTTCAGTTTTACTTAATTTCATTCAATTGAGAACAGACTACAAAACCCAAAAATTAGCTAATTGTTTGAAAGGTCTTGCAGCGTGATAACATGTATTCTACGTATACAAGTTTTAAACAATGCTGGAATCTACGTAACGTTGATTGTATGTAATTACTGTTTTTTTGTATTTATAGACGTAGAATCAAAAATGACTGGCCAGAGGATGATCATTTAAAATAAAATATATATACAGAAAAAAATTATTTGTAAATAATATCACACACACACATGTATCTCTCTCCAAGTTTTGCTGCATACCTTGTATGTAAAATTAATTCAATTGATTTTTTTTATATTTGAATTAACAAGCAAAAAAGTATTAGAACATTATGTGACGTTCCATGTTAAATAGATAATAATTAACAAGAGAATATTCATTTATAGTAAATGTATACTAACAATTTATTAATGCATAATAATTGTCATAATTGTCTTTCACCTGTTTTCATATTACTTTTAATGATATAACTAATTATAAATATAAGATAAGAATATGCTTCCCGTTTTAGTAAGATTAGAAAAAGTTTTCATTTACAATATTGAAAACATAATTTATACATTGATTTGATGAAAACATATATTACCTTTATAAAGTAGTACACTTAATCGATAAAAGAATTTTTTAATTCGATTAACATTAAATTGTTTTATATCAGGTAATATAGTTGAAGTAATTTAATGTATGAAATCCTCCCCCTACCTTCTCATAAAAATTAAACTGAATTAAAACATGAATATCAAAGTATTAAAAATTATCATATGCATTTTGATGCATGTACTCCTTATTAAATATCTTAATATCATATTATTATTTTTTTAGTCATATTTGGAGTCAATTTAATGGAAAGATCCAAACCATGGTAGTATAAATGGAATAAGCAGAAAGTAGAAATATTGATTAAGGGAATTTCGTTACTAGTACATAATTCATAGGCAATACTAGAACGTTAGAATTTTCATGCACAATCATAATTTATTGAATATCACAAAGACAAGTTACACTTTGTCTTTATGTATTTGTTTCTTGCTTACTATAAAATATTAAATACAGCAGATTTGTATTTTTCATTATGCATGAAAATTCATTTTCTATCAGAGTATATGTTTGTATGCTTTTGTTCTGACAAGTCATTATACATAAATACTATTTATATGAAATTCCTACATATGCATGACAATGTTAAGAAAAAATAAAAAGAGAAATAAAATAATATTTTAGTGAAATATTGATTCTATGTACACTGTATATTGACTCGATGATTGCAATTTTCAAATATTTTTCGAAACAAACAGCATTTATATATTAATAGTATTCGGTTATGCATTATTCATTCAGGAAGAGCACACATCTTTCAATTCATTTTTAAAGAAATGTTTCCAATAATATAGTACAAGAATATATATTATGTAAGCAATAATACTACATATAAATCTATATATCGTCTTGTTTTTAACAGAAATAAAGCATACAAATGTGTAAAAATCATGACACAATTTTATTAAATTTTATTGAAGTTGTAAAAAAAGAGTAAAATATATTTTGCCATACTTGTACTGTACTGTTAATTACGTTAAATGATTAGCACAATTCAATAATAATAACAAGGTTTTAAGTTCAGATTTCACTAAACAGTCTGAAGAACTATTGTAGTAAAAGAAGAATAGAGAAGCTCACGGGTGGTATCAGCGCATGCGATACGTATTTGTTTCATGAATTTCGCACAAATCTCCCTTGAAGTCCAACTCGATACTGAAATCCAGATCTCTATAATTTCTTGCATTGGGCTTCATAGAAAATACACCATATATTTCTTCTCCTTTTTTTACTGTCATGTATTCATCAAAATAAAACACTGTTTGCTTCCAGTGCGTATATTGCACTTCGGGCGCTGTACTAAAGCCAATTCGTTTGTGGCACTTAGTGAATTCGATATTGAAGAATGTAACTAGCGCTTGAACATAATCATTTCTACGAACTTGGAGAGTAAATGGTGATGAGAATTCTAAATCGGCCTTTGTTACAGTATATAGATCAACTTCTTTGATAAGACATGCATTTGTTACAACTTGTTTTGGATCTACGATATCCACCAATGGTTCGCTTATTGCTACTTTCCTTATGCTACTCATATCAAAGCCATATACATCATCCCACCAATTAATTTTTTCATCCTTATATTGTCTATCCTCTATGCCGCATATGAATAGAGTTGCTTTATCAGGAAATAACATTCCATCTTCACGAAGCCACTTATCTCTAGCAAAAAGCACTGTGTCCAGCATAGATTCGTAAAATAAACAATAACCCATCCACTCGGATATAATTATGTCTACTTTTTCTATGTCATCTGGTAAAGAAACTTCTTCGACTTTGCCTTTCAAAATTGTTACCACATTTGAAAGTTGATTGGCCTCCACAATTTTTTCTGCGTACTCAACAATATTAGAACATTCTATCCCAATAACTCTGGCAGCTCCAGCTTTTGCTGCAAACATGGATAATATACCTGTACCACAGCCTATATCTAGAACTGTTTTTCCTTTAAAAAGATGTTTATTGTGGTACATGGAATTACGGTATGTCATAGTTCGTACTTCATCCTTTAACATTTCTTCATGAATTCCATAATGAGCATAAGAATCGAAGTAATAATCTCTAGATGTCATATCTTCCACAGATACAGATTCTTTGCATGACGGCATGCTAGCATTTGTAGCTGCTACAGGAGCTGATTCTCCAACATCCATTGATTCCATTTTTGAAGTCTGTAATCATTTGTTACAACATATATTATAAAATATATATATAAATAATCTTAATAATCCAAAATACCAACACAATTTTATAACAAAATATTTCATCAAATTCCACCATTTTGTAAATATAAGAAATTGCTGATATTATATTTAGTAATTTTCCCTTTATATAGGATAACTTGGTTTTCAAATAATAAATAACTAATTGGTGATAATATAAAACGTTTGCAGTTAAAAATTTATATAAATTTGTTTAAATTCTATGTTTTATGTAAAATAAAATTAAAAAAAAAAATATATATATATACGTTAAGCATAAATAAAATGTACATAAATATGCAAAATACACAGTATAAATATTATTTACAATACTATCCATTTACAGTACGAAATATGCAATAAAAATGTTTAAAATTCGACAAAATATTTTGTACGATCTAAGAAGACGCACGTGCCCGCCAAAACGAATGGCGTCTTTTACAGATCGAATTATCCATGAATATTGTTCATCATGCGGGCACGTAATTCATGTCATTATACATTGTACAGCACCAGCAATACAGTGATTAAACATGGTTCAATTAATTAGAAATAATGCGAAGAAATTACTAATGATATTTGAACATTATTACCAAGGAATCAATTAAAGAAATAACAATATATTTCGTTATACATTTGCTATAATTTTGCGATTTGGCAGTAAAAATAATTAATATATGTATTAGTACTATTTCTTAGTAATCGTCATAATAAATATACTTTTTATTACAATATTTTATGTAACAGATAACACTTTTCTAATTAAATTATAAAAATAATTCGTCAAAAGTTACCTGGTTTTCAGTAGTACACATGCCACTCTGGTTGATTTCTGCCGGCACTTCATTAGCTGCCGCCATTTTGTTCCGCGTCACAGCAGACGACTACCTTCAGGAACGTATGCAATCGTTTGCATACGGGTGAACTGAATACCTACTATTTCGAATGAAGACAAATTGCAATCAAAAATAAGTCCAAACAATGTTATCTAATAACAATTCATAGAGGCGAATACTTATCAATAAAAGCTTATTACATGTGGAGAGACTATTTAACATTTAATGACAATATAATGTAGATTATCTTAATTGTAAAACGTAATATTTATATAATATTAATAATGTAAATTATAGATTACCATTTAATATTGTAGTAATTGTTTTTTTCAAAATAATATACACTTCACAACAATATCTCTTTAACATCGATATTCCACATTATTTCAAGTTTTAATTTGTTTCCAAAAATCATGTGTAACTCTTTTTAGATAACTTTAACGTTTAACAATAATGTGAATTTACCAACAATAAAAAGGATAAATTTTTCATTAAATATAATCTCACATTGATTTTTCAATCATTTGATAGAAGAAAGTATAAAAAAAGAATATAGAAATGGTAAAAATGATTACTACAAGACAGGATGACGAAATGTCCCGAAAAGTACAATTTTCAAGAACAAAGAATCATTTGATACGTCCCTGTTAGATGCGCAGTGCAGTAGTCCGAATATTCCTCATTATCTTGTATTAAATGTATTTATTTATTTCAGTTTTTATGTTAAAAATTCTATTTTTAAGAAGCAAGAATAGATATAATAAAATAATTCATAATATTTCATCGTAAGAATAAATTCGAATTCGTAGATTAGCTCAGTTGTTGTTTGATGGAAAAAAAAGTGTCGTCCAATAAGGTGCGAGATAGCTGATAAGTTGTGTCGGGGTGGAAATGGGCAGGGAACGGAGCTTGCTTGTACGCTTTCGTGCTGTGAAGTGTTGGTTTCTTAAAGGGGGACATCATCAACTATTCTTCACTCACCAATCTCTATTTGTGATTCTTGTCTGTGAAAACGGAATACGTAATTGTTTTTAATGTGCCGCGAATATCAGCGATCAAAGCTCATTTACATGGTGATCGTAAAGCGTTAAAAGATGTTGGTAAGCAAACAGGCGGGAGACAAAAGTTTAACATTAAGCAAGTGTACGAACATTGCATATACTGCGATCTATCTCTTTCTTCTATTCGTTTCTTTTTTCTTCTTACTTTTCTTTATACCATATCTTGTCAATTGGATTCGAAATACTTTTCGTGATTATAATAATGTTATTTCGCGTTAATATACTTCCTTATATTCTTCTTTCTTTCTCTACATATGTCTTAGCTCGGTATCTCCTTCGAGGTTACTATTATTTAGCAATATTTGAGATAGCAGTAATGTGTCAGTAATGTGATCACACTTATTTTTATTATGAATCTACTAGAACAATACGAAACGATGATATTTTAATGAAAAATATATTCTGCAAAGAAACTTTTGTCGATAGCGACGTCAAGTTAAATCTCTTCTCCTAAGTTCTCCTTCAAGGAGAAATTACTTCTTAGTTCCTACAAAAATAATTGTTACCGTGAACAATGGCTCTTAATATCGATATATAGCTTATTTTTTCTTTTGTTTACTTTATGTTAGAAATATTTATTTTACCGCTTTTGATATCTCAACCAATTATGATGGAAGAATGTGTGTGTATACATATTTGCGCGCGCGCGTATACTTGACGCACGCAAGCATTTTTCTATATACGCATTGCGCGCGACCCTAATATAATTTCGAAATTTTTGAAAAACTATAAAAGTTTATTTCTCTATTCATCTGTTTTTACATATTCTTTCGTTTTCAATAATTATCATTGAAAATTGAATAACGTGTCATACTACTATAATACCTTTATATATACATCTATTTGTTTGGAGCAAACGCAAATAAGTATTATTATTTCAATGTATTACTTTATATTGAGAGATTAAAGATTATTTATTGTAGGGAGACGATCCACCGTACCTGTCAGTAGGTACGGAGGTTAGTGCTAAATACAAAGGTGCTTTCTGCGAAGCTAAGATTCGGAAGGTAGTAAGATCTGTGAAATGTCGAGTAACTTATAAACAAGGATTAGGCACTGCTACAGTTACCGATGATCAGATAAGAGGGACTTTAAGAGTTGGTGCATCAGTAGAAGCAAGACATAGCGATAAGAAGGAGTTTGTGGAAGCTACCATTACCAAAATACAAGACTGCAGTCAATATACTGTAGTTTTTGATGATGGAGACATTACTACTTTAAGAAGAACTGCTCTTTGTTTAAAGAGTGGAAGACATTTTGCAGAAAGCGAAACATTAGACCAGCTTCCTTTAACACATCCCGAACATTTTGGAAATCCTGTTATCGGAGGAAGAAGAGGAAGACGGTCAAGGCAAGCTCAGTATGTAGGCTCGATAAGATTTAACAAGTACAATGTAATTGCAAAATTTTGCTTTGGGTATGCTTAGGTAGGGTATGCTTAGTAACAAGAACATATACATACCTATTGTGGACAAATGAATTTCAATGTCACGAATATGATGTGACATATGTGTAGTATTGTCAACATATTATCTATATTCAGCTAAAAGTCACTAACCAATAATAATGCTAATCTGAGCTATTGCTCGTCAAACAAATTTTTAATGGAAAAAATCAGATTTGGAAAAAATTTGCTTTTTGTTGATGCTTTTGGTGAAGTAATGGTTAATAAATTAAAAAAATAATTTTCTCAATAATAAAGATACAAATGTAGTTAATGACTTTTATCTAACTTTTATCGATTTTTTCACTTTCATATTCAGAACATGATGTATGTAGTTCTGGCACTCCATCAGTTTTACTTTTTATGACTGGTAGTTTTGAATATCAACCATGATAATCCTCTGGGATGATTCGAGAAGAACATAGCTTAAAAATATCTTTGATAACTTGTTTAACTAATTTATCTTATATTTTGTTGAACGCAGTATTGTTCATATAAATTATACATTGTAGTAATTGATCAAATTTTGTCCAAATACTTCTTTGAAGAACTTTTCTGTGCATAATGACCTTCCATAGTTGGAAAACTTTCAATATGGTTTTTTAAATGATACGACGTATCAACTATATGTTATCAAGCATATTTGACATTGAGTCTATTCGTGAAGATTTTCTTGGTTTTCGTCTTGCTTTTCATTGTTTGGCTATTCAAATTAATAGTATGTAGTAAAGGTTAAAACTTTAAATTCAACATTCAGTTAGTGGCTGGATAAGGGCTGCCAAAATAAGTAATAGTTTACCAGCAAAAACTCACTATACAACTTAATGATTTTTGGCAAAAAATACAATTTTTGATTTTGAAGTTGATGAACTTTTGATATTTATTTTGCATGTTTACACTGTAATAGAATTGATAATGAACTATACTTAGATTGTTTACGAAATTTTAAACAAGCTATATAAGGACAAAAATTGTAGATAGTGACATTTGAATATAAACGATATTTAGAAAGATATATATATATGAGAATTTAATTTTTAAATTATACATGCTTAATATTATTTTATCGTTTTTTTCATAGAGATGAAAGTAGCGATGATGAGGATAGTCCTCCTAGAGGAAATCGTGATTTTGCTTCTAATATGGGAGGAAAAGAAGGCATTGAAACAGAACCTGAAATTGGACGAGTTGTTTGTGTTGAATTGGGAGACAAAAAGAAAAAAGATAATTGGTTTCCAGGATTGGTAGTAGCTCCTACTGCTCAAGATACTGTACGAATTAGAGTAAGAGATGATTACTTGGTGCGTTCATTCAAGGATGCAAGATAGTAAGCATAATATCTATTTGATATAACAATTAAATATATTTATAATTTTAGAATGTCTGAGGCTATGAATAAGTAATGATTATTTTTAATCTTCTATAATATAAAAATGTGTAATTTATCAGATATTAGTGTAAGCGATAGGTAATCAGAGACCATCTGGAAAAATTGCGATCAAAGAAGTTTTGAAAACAACGATAGGATTGCTAAATCTTGGTTTGATGAGGAATGCAAGAAATGTTACGATGACAGACAAAGGATTAAAGAAATTAGTTTTAAAGAGTGTAGCGACAGGTTACTAAGAGAAACATATGAAAGAATTAGGAAAGAAACTAATCATAAATTCAGGAATAAAAAACAAGAATGAGGGAAAAAAGAAGGTACCAGATATTGAAAATAATAGTAAGAATAACAACATCCGTGAAGCATAAAAGACCATAAACGCGATTATGTATGGATTTCAATCTAAATCGAATTTGTTAAGGAGACGCGAATCAATAGAAGCAAAAAGTATTTTGATAGCTTACTAAATATATATAATCTCAAACGAAATTTGGCATACTATAAAAAATAAATAATGAACCTCTACCAATATATATTAACCCTTTCGGTACGGCAGCGTAATCTGCGAAAACGTGTTTTGCGGAATTCATAGAAATCTCGAGCGTGATTGACACTAAACTTTTCATTCGAACCGCGACGGTCACCGATGACTGTCCTGGTATTTAACGACTTTAAAAGATGTTTATAAAATAAAATAAAAATAAAAATAATAATAATATATAAATAATAATAATTAATAATTTTTGTGATGGAATTTTATCTTGCGGATCAGACAGAAAGATGGAAAAACAGGCTTAACGCTTAACGTTTTAAAATCTTTTCTATTTCTTCACAGTTACATTAATTAGAGTAAATGACATTGATATAAATAATTTGTTCTAATATCACAAAATTTAAAGAAATAATAAAACTAATAGTGTAACATATGCCGATCGGCGGCAGTAGTACCCAGAGAATGTTTCGTGGATGTCGCTATAGGGCGGCAGTAGGACCCGGAGAACGTTCGTGGATGCCGCCATATGGCGTCAGTAGTGCCGAAAGAATAAGCTAAAGTTATGTTAAATTCTTGAAAGAAATAGCTAACGACAACTTCATCTTAAAACAATTAAAAGATAATCAAGTTAACCCATTTGCATCATGTGTCTACTTTAGCTTTCTTGCCCAAACATCAGCGACGTTCAACTATCGACTGACTTGTATCATCGATCAAATTCTCACAGATAGAAAAACTATTGTTTCTTATGCGGAATAATCCGCGTTTGGATGCAAATGGGTTAAAATTCAAGTCGATATTTCCGATATCTATAGGAAGCTCACTATTGTTCTAAAAGAAAAGAATGTAAATTTCTACACTTATCAGTTGAAAAAAGATAGAAGCTATAAGATAGTAATAAGAAGGATACATTTTAGAATAGATACTAATATAATAACTAATGAATTAAAAAAACTCAATCACCTGGCAAGGCAAATAAGAATCGAACGTGATACGAAATAACCACAGCCGTTATTCTTCATTAAATTTAAGCCTAATGATAATAATAATGAAATATACAAAATCAATAGGCTAATAAAGTAAATTGTGTGTTATTAATCAGGTACCATATGTTATCTATGTTTTTATTAATTTTGTTTTTTATTTGTAAAATTCAGTTTGAAGTGATAAATAATATTCCTGATAAAATGAATATATATTAATACATATATATATATTGTTATTATTATTATTATTATTATATTTCACACATTTATAGCTACACAGTACCGAAAAAGGAAGCAACTGAATTTACTAAGGAATTGGTCAATAAAGTTGAAAACAGTACATTGAAAGTTGCAGTTGAAAAAGCATTGCTATTTTTAGAAAAAAATGAATTGCCCCCACATTGGGATAGAGATTCTCTATTTGGAAATTCTGTTTCTAGTGGTAATAGTGATTCTGATAGAGAATTAGATTCCGATGTAAGTGTTGTATTTAATTACTTGATTATATTGATTAAAATTTGTAGTAAATATATATACTTTAAATATTGTACAAGAAATAACTTGTAATATATTTTTTATTTTTTTAGAGTTCAGATGACGAGCCACGCGAGGAAAAAGATCACTTTGTGGCACAATTATATAAATTTATGGATGATAGAGGAACACCAATAAATAATTGTCCTATGATTGGTTCCGAAGATATAGATTTATATAGATTATTTCGAGCAGTTTACAAATTAGGTGGTTACAATCGTGTTACGAATCAAAATCAATGGAAATCCATAACACGTCGATTAAGTTTTTCAATGCAAAACTCACCATCTACGCACAATTTGGTGAAACAAGCATATAAAAAATTTTTACATTCTTTTGAAGATTTTTATAGAAAATTAGGTTGTACTATGGTGAATCATCCAAGAGGTAGTACACGAAAACAACGTCCCGGTAGAAGTTTGATTAGAGATAAGGACAGAAATACGCCTATTCCACCACCAGCCCCAGTATCAAAGAACGAAAAAGAGGAAGATGAGAAAAAGTCACAAGAAGAAGAGAAAAAAGATAAAAAGGAAACGAAAAAAGAACAGTTAAAAGAGGATGAATCAAAATTAAAGAAAAAAGATGATGTAGAAGAAGTTGGGAGTGGGCAAGAAAGTGATATAAATGTTGATGCAGATCCAGAAACTTCTAGTAGCGAGAAGTCACCTAAAATTTCTCCTCAAATTGCATCAGTGCCAAGTAGAGCCAAGTCAAAAAGTAAAGAAGATATGAAAAAAAAAGTTGTAGAAAAGAAAAAAAGTGAAACTAAAAAACAAGATAAAAAGGATGAGAAAGTGAAAGAAGAAGAGGCAACAAAAACAAGATCTAAATCTAAGGATGACATAGTAAAAAATAAAGCTTCTTCCGAAGCAAGGGAGACACGAACACCATCTAGGGAATCCGAGAGAAGAGCTTTGACAAAACAAAGACGTTTAACAGATGAGGAATTAAAACGACGTGGTAGAAAGCGTAAAGAACATGAAGCTGAAAAATCGAGAACCGATGAACAACTTGGAGAATCGGCACCCTGTTACAAAGGTCCAGTGGAATTAGGTGATAGGTTAAAAGTTTATTATGGACCAACGCATGAATCTAAAGTTACATATGAAGCGAAAATCATTGATATGGAAAAAGATGGTAATGAACCAATGTATCTTGTACATTATACTGGCTGGAATACAAGATATGATGAATGGATAAAGCCATCGAGAATTGCTCAAAATTTTACTCAGGCTCAGGGTAGAGTAAAACGTAATAAAGCCACGTCCCGTCCTCAAACGCCTAGTACAAATAGTTCTGGTAATGTCAATAAATCTTCGAAAAATAACGGTAATACTGCCTCAAATGCTGCTTCAAATGTTGCTTCAACAAATGCGTCCCAAAATCGCCGTAGAGCACAAAGTGTCGTTCCTGTTACCAATACTATATCCACGTCGTTTAAAGAAATAAAAAAAGAAGAGAAAGATAAGGACAAAGAAACAACACAACCCATTAGGTCTACCACACCATTATCTGTAACAAGTAGCAGTTCTAGAACTAAGAGTCCTGCAACACCAGCTAATAACAGACAAACTAGAACAAACAAAAATGTGGATCTTCCTGGAATTGAACCACGTAGACGAACTAGAAGAACATCAGGTCATACAGACATATCAATTCCATCAGAAACTGATGAAGACAGTGAAGCATACGAATCTGACACAACTGAACCAGATCAAGCAAAAACAAGGTCCAAAGGAACAGATGAAAGAAAACGAAGAGATGTTAGAAATCGAGATGACAGAATCAAAGCTGAGGATATTAGCGAAGGGGAGGATGATAAAGATAATATAGAAGAACCTCGTAGAGGTCGTAGATTAAGAAGAACACTTGGTAAGGTACAAGGTGTCAAATCTGATCCTGATAGTGATGAAGAACAACCAAAGGGTAGAGATTTTGATCTTAATCAAATAAGGTCTGAATTAAAAGGATTTGATAAAGCAGTTAAATTAGAATTAGTTAGAGTTGAACCTAATTCTGAAGATGGTATTAAAACGGAAGAAAAGGAAAATGTTTCTACTTTAATTTCTTCGAAAATAGACAAAAATGTAGAAGTATTAAAAACAGAAAACATTCCAAATCCAAAGCCTATAGATAGCAATGAAGACATCTATGAATTTAAAGAACCGGAACCTTTTGAATTTGAAGTTAGAAATAAAAGAGATACAAACGCGGATAAGGACAAAATAAAGAAAAGAATGTTTGAAGAGGAGCCTAAAAGTCCCAAGAAAAAACAAAAACCAGTTACAAGCCCAATAACCAAAGATACTAAATCTGATTCAGACAATGATTCTCGTAAAAAAACCAGAAAGTTGTTTAGTAATAAGCGAGCTGACGATTCTAACGATACGACGGTAATAGCCCTTAACAAGCCATTACAACCAACACCTTTGACGTGTGAAGAGGCATTTGATAAACTTTGTGTACCTCCGTCGTCATTTAGTCATAGTAAATCATCAACAAATTTAGAAGAAACTGGAAAAGTAGTTAACAGTATAGATCTTCTGTTTAGTGATTTACCAGGCGACGATGATGTTACTCACGATGATTCCGAAGATCGCTTAATAATATCAGAAACGGAAGTTTCGGAAACGGAACAAGAAAATTTATTTACTTATCATCAAGAAATGTTTACTACAACTTCTGATTTAACTGACACCATTGATTTAGAAAAGGGAACAACTAATACTCAAGCTGATCCCCCAATAAGGGAAGATTTAACATTATCAGTTATTGTTAATAAATCAGGAGGAGCTTTGGAGCAAAAACAAAATATTAAGGCATCGCCTGTATCCAGACTATCTCCAGAATTAAAAACACTTGATGCAAAACTTATAAATATTCAGCCAATTTTATCACCGGTTGTAGTTACACCCGCTCCCATAAGCGCGAGACTTCCGGCCACATCTACGATAGAAGAAAAGTTATCAGCTGCAGCGATGGCTTTTAGAAATAAAACTAAAGATACCCCAAAAGAAGATGAAGTTTCTGAGTCTATAAGAAAAATTAATAAAGAAGTTACCAAAAAAATAGATGCTAGTGTCGTCTTGCATAAGAATAAGGAAGATCAGATTATTTCCAAACATGGAATAGATAATAGAAATCGAGAAGAAGATACTACAATGAAAGAAGAAGAGCAAAGAAGAGACATTATGTGTGTAGTTATTAAGCAAAAGGAAGAAGAACTTCAGCAATTAAAATTAAAGAAAGAATCTGAATTAAAAAAATTTACGGAAATAAAAATTGTTACAGAACAAAGAAAAACTCAAGATAGTAAAGACGATGATTGGAAAAATGAAGATAATATACGATGTAGTATAATAGAGGAAGATATTAAAGAACAAGATTCAAAAGAGAGAGAAAAGGATAAACGAAAAAAAGTTGTTAATCAAGAAATTGTGGATTCAACCGATAGTAGTGATTCCGAACAGAGGCTTGTTATTGATAACGAAGAGCCTCAAGATATAAAGGATCCTATATCTAACTTTGACACCAAATTGAGAGCAGAGTTAGATAAATTTCAAGATGGCCATGAACACTATCCTAAAACGCAAACACCTAAACCTGTACTAAATTTAAATCCTCAACAACAACAGGAATGTATATCTGATTTTAAATCAGAATCAATATCAGGAATTATCAATATTAAGACAGATGAAGAGGGTGAAACAATTAATTCATTGCTTTGTGAAGAAGAAATTCCTGGCTCGCCAGCGCCTCCTATTGAGATTATAGAAAAAGATAATGCAGGACCCTCGTATTCACCGCCACAAGCTGAGATTAATGAAAATATTGTTTTACTGGAAATGCCTTTTGCAAGTGCTCCAACTTCTGGTGAAAGCACAACAAGTAACACTGTTGCTACTCTTAGTATGGCATTGCCAAAGCCTGTTGAAACATCTATTCCATCTGCATTGCCAATACAGCAAAATCCTTCGCTTGGGTTACGGCAACAAGTACAACATCAACATTTACCAGCGCTTATGCCTGCACAAAGACGGGAAAGCAATGATGCAGCACCAGTAATGGATAATACTCCTCCTACAACACCAGACTCAAGTATTTCAAACATCTCTGGGTCTCCTCGAGAAGAAAGAATTGGCGGATCTTCACCAACTTCTGAAGATAATATGAAATTAAATAGGGATAGTTCTGAAGCAGATAATGATAGCGGTAGCAAGGGACAAGGATTTAGCGAAGATGATATATTAACCAATTCAGAACGAAATTCAGGAGATAGAGCATTAAAAGCTCCAGCTAAACGATCTGTAGAAGAAGCTCAAAGTCCGAAAAAACGAAAGAGAAATAGAAAACATTCGGAATGTGGAGGAAATATTCCTAAAAAATCTGGTAGGCCAAGTGGTCGACATACCAGAAATGGTGCTGGCAGTGATAGCGATGATACAAGCGAAGGGTCTAATTTATGTTTAGTAAATCCAACATCTACAAATCACACAAATCTTAATAGTGTAACAGATCTCAACAATTATTCATCGAGACCACCTAGACAGGTGAAATACAACTTCTATGTGGAATTCGGTAAATCAAAAATAATAACATTTTTTCTTCTTTTTTTTTTTCAATTTGCATTAGAAAAAAATCTTATGCTTTATATTTGATTACAGGTCCAGAATTGGATGGAAGCCAAAGAATAGCTGTATTGCAACAAAAATTAACAGAATTACGCCAAACATATAATTCTGTAAAGGTTGAACTTGCTGCTATAGAAAGACGGAAAAAGAAATTACGGAGAAGAGATCGAGAAGGTAGGCAATATGAGTAATATAAAATTAATACTTATAATTTTTTATTTTATAAAAATAAATATTTATGCAAAAACCTCATATGTATTCGTTTTAGCTACAAAAGCAGCTAAAGCGGAGATGCAGCAGGCCTGTTCGTGATGGGCTGTGTTGGACAGCTATCTGCATATCTCCACATATTAAAGTCTTTTACGTATGTATATGTACGCATGTATACAGCGATGCTTTCCCAAAATTTACCAAACGATTCATAGTAAAATTATTTTATTACATTTTCATTATTTTGAATAATAATATTGCCATCACACACACACATAATGTTATGATTCGTCAGAAGGGTAGACTAACATGAGAATACTAAATATATCAGATAATTAACAACTTTTACTTATAATAGTGATAGTAAATAAATCTAATTTTCAAATTATTTCAATTAACTTAAACATCTCTATGATAATTAACTTTAATGCTATTACTAATGCTATAACTGTTTATCATGATATGTGTCATTTATGGAATTTTACAAAAAAAGAAAAAGAAAAAACCTATCAAATTCTCAAATTTGGTATACAAATTTACATTACAAACATTACAAAAATAAATTTATTTTATGCCTGCTCGTCATTAATAGCCGATTTGCATGAACTCTAAGATTTATTGGTGCGAACCGGTGTGAACTAGAAGGGAAGCATTTCAACATATATGCATATATACACATACAAGATCAAAGATCATAGTATGGGCACTCTGCAATCACGGCAAAATTCATGACAATTTACCTGTCTATTTAGGATTCATTAGGAAATTTTCTCCACTAATATAAATTGTAGATATAGGTGTAAGATTATGTATGCAATCAAGATTAAAAAATGGTACGTAAATATATATATTAGGTGTAGCAAACTAATTTGGTGCCTTGATATTAAATTCATTGCGTCATAAATCACCATTTTTTTCTCGTCAAGGAATTTGGCAATTGCCTGAAAAATGGACCAAAGTAATCAAAAATAATGGAGACTATTTCGCAAAATAACAGATGTATGATTACTTTATAAATAAATACTAAATTTATTCGGAAGGCACCGAATTAACTGTTACACAATATATAATATATGTATGTGTCGGCGTTAAATCCTATAATTTAGTTAATTCATGAAATATCTAAGTCTTACGCGAAATAACTAATCGTTTTTGGAAAAATATATAAAAAAAAATTGTATTATATACTTGAACTAATTGTTTTAGGAAATAATTAAATAATATGTGAATTTACGAGAGGCGAGTAGTTAAAGTATAAAATTAAAATTTGATTCCAAGTATAAAAAAAATATTCATCGGCTTCGTTTCAATATCTGCCTATATTGTTGTAAAACTGGAGACAGAAAATATGCGTTTCTTCGTTTTAAAGCTTTCCAAACGAAGGTTAACAGATTTCATAAATTAACGCCAACATATATATATATATATATATATATATATACAGGGTCTTTCGCCTAACTAGACCACCTTAAATATATCGCTTATTTTGTAAGATAGAAAAAATGTCAGGGGAAAAAAATATTCTGTTCTAAGACGTCAATACGGTGATAACACCGTACGTTCTTATAACTAATAAAAAAATGAATATTATGATTATAAATATGTTGACCTTCAAGTGACATTGCGAAATGTTGCTCTTCTACATGAGAAGTTTTTTTGCTTGTATGAGTGTCTTACACGTTGATTTGCATTTGTTTCATTTACCTTCGAACGAGCGCTTACTAAAGCTCCTGACAAACTCTTCATAATTTTCTCAATAAAGGTCATCTGAAGGTCAACATATTGCACATCGTTGGATTTGTTTTTTATAAGCTGTCTTAGACTGTGTAGTGAAAATATACAGTCTTATTTTAAAAAAGTACGATGATCTTGAAATCTCGAAAAAATGACATTGAAAAAAAATTCGACCCATCACCGTATTAGCGCCTCCAAACAGAATATTTTTTCCCTCTGACATTTTTTTCTATCGTACAAAATAAGCGATTTATTTAAGGTAGTCTAGTTAGGCAGAAGATTCTGTATATATTATATATAATTTGAACATTATAAAGATTATAGAACATTTAAGTTTATATTACATATGAGGTACGTTTCTTCTTTGTTAACTAAACTTTGCTTTTGAGTCCAGTGTTTGTGTCATTGTGGTTGAGCTGTTTTCAGGACAATTAAATGTCTTTAATCTCATAAGTACAAGCGCTGTTTCTCATGGCAAAGCAAATGTAAATAGGATTTGTAATATCATTATTGGCACATAACTCTGTATATTATATATAACAAGAATAGCATTTGTACAATCTAAATTTTTTATTTAATAGATGTATTACAATTTAATATTATTCTCGATGCGTATTCCAAGCAATGTGTAGCTATACAATTACAAGGCATAAGTGAAAGTATGCATTGTCGGCAATTTGAAGTACAGCATAATTTCAATATTAAATACAAGAGGAAATTTGTATTATTTTAAACTATGTAAATATATTGTAGGAAAATAAAAATATCTTACATTATTTATAAAGTTATAAAAATATTTGTTCATATTTACACAAAAATTGTACATGTATATTCTGCTTAAACCAGAGACATCAACAGTAATTAATGTTTATGATATTTTTTTTAATCTTTTAAGAATTTGTCATGAATACAGCTTAACATAACTATGAGCTTGAAAATTTTTATCTCAACCGTTTTAGTGCCAAGTGGCGCGATCACGTCTAAAAGTACCAGCGCATCAAACTGATAGTCGAAAGTAATTGCATGTCGGTATATTTTCTTATAATAAAACAAAACACTTTCGATACTGAATAAGATAAGCACTATCGGTCCACTTAGCATTTTTCGACCCAATTTTCGTAAAGACCCGGGCACTCAAACAGTTAAACAAATAATTGGCAACTACTATTGTACTTTAGTTATTTCTAACTTTATTATCAAGATCTATAATTGGTTAAAAACATACACATTTATATTTTTATTTAATATGAAGATATACTATAATATAGTATACTTATATATAAGTAAGTGTCCCTCGTGTACTAAGAGACTAACTGTAAGATTAAGATTATGTAAGTTCAGAACCACAAATCAAATAACCTTGAATGGGGCTAAATTTGTATGAAACATGTTGGCTGAAAAGAGTATGAAATTTTATATAGATATATAATATATATTTTTTATAAGAAATCAGTTGTGAACACATTCATTGATAGAAAATAATCACACTGATTGAGAAAAATAGTAAGGAAATGGGGAGTTGGACTCTCTAAAACTTTGTACATAGTTTACATTGCTTGCATTAAGTACACTTATAGTATATAGTTTATAGTATGTAGTTATTTGTCGCACAGGAATTTTAACATTACTTTCAAGTGATTTCAAAAATCTTGCAATAACATTTACTGTATTTTTAACTTAATAAAGAGGAAGAATTGTATGACATTGTTTATGTAGATTTTTATGTATTTGATCAAATTTGTAAACAAATATTTGTGAAAGTTACAAAAAATGTAGCTTTAGTATTACTAATATATTTTGTATTAATTTCAAGAAAAAAATGGACTCATTAGTAAAATAAATGATTAATTATTTTGCTTTTATTTTAATATTTGCATTTGTTAAAAGTAAGAGAGATCTCAAATTGAAATAATAATTATAAATATACTATACAATAATATCGTTTATTTAAAAAAGAAATCAATGTTGAACATACATACACGTATAGAGTGTGTGTGTGTGTGTGTGAAAGAGCGAGAGAGAGAAAGATAGACACTTTCATATTAAAAAATAATATATCATAAATATTATAACATAATATATTATAAATATAGATCCCTATTATTATTGGTACACAGGAACAACAATTTTGCCTTTACTTGTTGAATTATTATATACATAAAAAATAATGTTATATAAACCAAATAGTAACATTAAATTATTATTTACTTATGTCTGTCTAATACAAAAATTTTCGATTGCAATTCTACTATATTATACCTTTATAATATATACCTGTATATATCAGTATCAGACGTTCTTTAAACTGTGTATGTAGTATTTCTGCTATACATGTATATAAATATAACTTTACAATCGTGAAAGAGGACTGTTTTATTGCACATGGAATAGTATAAGATAAATATATCTTATATAGGATGAATTAGAATTAATCGGATACCTGAATATTTCTGTTAAATTTAAAATTACAAAGAGTATGTCTACATCAGAATCAAAATAGTTTTGAAGGACGTACATGGTCATTATAATATAATGTTTTAGGTCACCAACGTTTTGGTCACCAACGTTTTTTTAAACGGAATTGCATATTTTTTCTCTATACATTATTGTAGCCAATACTTAGCGAGTTCAACAGTGTACCACAATATAATCTTCAAACAATCTTTAACCCAAAAATATGGAATAAATAAAATTCATCATGTAAGGTTTATTTGCTTTATTTATATTATGCTAAATGTTTAAAATTATTCTCTTGAGCTGCGATACATTTATTTAATTTCAAAGAATAAGAATCTAATGCTCTGTAATTCATTTCAGATGGAATCGACACATAAGCCCTGATAATTCTTTCTTTCAAATGCTTCGCAGTGGTAGAATTTTTCCAATAAACTTTTTTTTCCAGGTATCCTCATAGATAAAAATCAAGGAGTAGACATAACGGACCCATATAATAGCCAGCTCGCTAATCAAATCTTACATCCTTTGATTTATTGGGAAAATTCTATCACTGCAAAGCATTAGAAAGAAAGAATCATCAAGGCTTATGTGTCGATTCCATCTGAAATGAATTATAGAGCATTAGATTCTTATTCTTTGAAATTAAATAAATGTATCGCAGCTCAAGGGAATAATTTTGAACATTTAGCATAATATAAACAAAGCAAATAAACCTTACATGATGAATTTTATTTATTTCATATTTTTGGGTTAAAGATTGTTTGAAGATCATATTGTGGTACACTGTTGAACTCGCTAAGTATTGGCTACAATAATGTATAGGGAAAAAATATGCAATTTCGTTTAAAAAAACGTTGGTGACCTAAAAAAATATAATATTATAATGACCATGTACGTCCTTAAAAACTATTTTGATTCTGATGTAGACATACTCTTTGTAATTTTAAATTCAGCAGAGATATTCAGGTATCCGATTAATTTTTACTCGCCCTGTATATATGAATAATTACACAAATTTTTAATCTCTTTTGTTGTTAGGCTATTATTTTTTTCATTGTATCAACAATTACCGTCTTGAGAGTGTTTCAATAACTTGTTAGTAATCTAAAAAAAGAGAATTTTATTTCGTTTTTTTTTGTTTTACTATGTTAGCTACATATGTTTAAGGCTGACTGTACAATGTCCAAAACATTTACAGCATTATTTGATCAAATAATATATATATATGTAATATGCAATATAAGGCATTGGGTAACATATTGTATATGCTTGAAAAAATAAAAATCGTTATTCCTATACATAATTACTATATTAAATGAACAAAAAAATGATTACAATAAATTGATTAATTATCTATTTTCGGTGATTCGATGGAGCGAAATGAAATTTGGACTAAATTTAATTAACTTATATTGATATACTTTCATAAAAAATTATCAAACAAATACTTAAATTTAAATTACTTTTACGTAATACAAAGTACAATAGATAAAAATTTTTTGAGTGATGATTACATTCTTGCCTACAAAAACACTTATCTTCATTGTAAATTATACAATGTTATATGTGAAATAATACATATAGAAAGCACAATGTATATTGCGACACGGTTCATTAATATTGTTCTATATAATCTATATATATCTTAATTTTGTGTTAGCATATATAATTAACAAATAAATCTTATCATAGAAAAATTATTTGAAGATCGTTTTTCTTATTATTTGTATTGCTTACTCGAATATATTTTATTAATAAAACATTTGATAAAAAAAAGCAGCAGAACTGACATAATAAATGCGCCGTTAAATTTTGTAAAGATAGTTTATTATATATTATTGCTTGAAGAAAAAAAGGAATATTAAAATTTTTAAAAAACATTACATAATATTGTGTTAACATAATGTACAAATATATTTTTATATGTATGACTTTGCAGATTTTACGTTTTTATATTTTTATATTCATTTATTGACTTTTAAAAAACATTGGAATTGAATAATATGATGTATATAATGGAAATGTACAATGATTGCAATACTTGTCCCATCGATATCTAAAACGACCAATTTATTGATATTTTTCTATATTTCTTTTTTAGAAGATGTATTTATTTTTCACAAACTTTTTTATTTTTGTTACTATAGAGTATTATGAAATAAGCATGTAAGTATATTTCTACGTTTCTATTGACTCAATAGTTTTTGTATAATATTTTGGAGAAATAATTTATTATAAAATAAATGTATTATAAACATCTATCTATCTATTTATCTACCTATCTCTATCTATCTATTTATCTATCTATCTATCTATATACCTATTTATCTGTCTATCTATCTATATATATGTATATATATATATGAAATTATTAAAGATAGTGTAATAATTTTTGTCGAAGTAGATAATATAGAATAAAATATTAATGAAAGTATTTTTAAATACTATTATGTTCACAAAACATACTACTACATGATATATTTTTTTCTTCGAAAAATTATTAGATTATATGATCATGTTAATCCAAAGTCTACTTTGTACAATTTCAATGTACCTAATAAAAGATTTAATATATATATATATATATATATATATATATATGTATATAGCCATAAATAAAAAATTATTTTTCATGTCAAATAATAATTGCATTCAAAATATTGAAATATAAAGCATATAGGATACTTAAAAATAATCAGCAAATTTATCGATGTAAGAAATTTTAGCCTGTAAAGACAATATTTGGCTACTTTATTAAAAATTTGCTTTTAAGTAGATTATATGACGATGTTAACTTTTTCTACTTAATTCAGAACTTTTATCTAACAGTTTTATACCTTAATAACAATTTTGCGAGGAAATGATATTGGTAAAACTCAAGTCACTCAATGATGTTGAAGAAAACAAAAAAAAGGAATAATAATAACTAAAAAAAAATAAAAGGAAGGAATATCATGATTGTACATGTCAACACGGAGGAGGGCTAGATGTTGGCACAGCATCAATAGTCGCTGTAGAAGAAGATGCCACTGCTGAAGTTTTATTTTCAGTAGGTAACCTCCGCCTAGCAAACATGAACTGTTCCATTAGTTCGTGATGTGCTTCCAATCGTTCAATACAATGTAGACATGCAGTTTTTGGTAGCGGATCATTCATATTTACCTGTATACAAAACATATGCAATAACAATAATCATGTACATTTTAAGCAATGTTGTAATTAGTTGTTAAGGTAGTAATGTAATAAAAGATTACAAAGAAAATTGATTCTTTTTTATAGACACTTTTGTTATATATATATAATATGTATAAGATAATATACACATTAGACACACTCCAAATACATGTATAAAAAATTGGCTACGATGTAGGTTTCTCTATATATACGATATAGGCAATAAATGGTTACACAAACAAAGTTCTTTGTTGAAAATCTATATATAATATAAATTGTGATATCAAATGATTATTACTTGTGCTGTCATTTTAGTGTAGAACAAAATGTAACTATGATGCATATAGATCAAAATATGTTCTAGTAACAGGATTGTACATTAACTTCTTTGACAAATAAATTTATCAGAAAAGAAGTAAAGAATGTGTATATACAAGTAAATGTATATCTTACCGTAATTGGAAGATAAGCATTGATCTTATCCGCGAGTTTCATTCTTTCACCCTCTTCTCCGTAAATGTGGATCACGAAACGGTTCATTTTACTGCAAAGTCTGCAAATGAAACCTGTTATTACAGCTTTATCCGTACTGCCCATTTTGCTACTCTATTTTTAATTTCCTCTTTGGTATTTGAACTTATTAATAGTCAATTAAGTTTAGTCCTTATTAATGAATATTGTGCAAATTGGAAACACTGTTATTTCAAGATGTTCTTCCTTTCAGATTCTTGAGTTTGTTTATCAAAGACTTCACACCATTGGCGCTACTAGTACTTCTTATTTTCATTGCTTTCTTCAGGGCAGTATCTAGTCCATTTCATATTTTGTTTAAAAACATTGGAAAATTTTTATTATCATTCTTTTAAAAAAACATCATTTTATTTTTAATCAAACAATTGTATTAATTAGAAGCAAAATGTTTTAATTATCTATCAAAAGTTTTCTATAATTAATGTCATTGATAATATATATATATCTCCTATTTGAAATATTAAAAATTACATTTGATATATTAAACTTATATGAACAATTTTGTTTTCTTATTACAACACAATAGATAATTAAATATTTTTATTATTACAATTTTATTTAGTATAATAATTTAGTATAAACTATAATACGAGTAATTTTATAGATTTAAAAAATGTTTTTATACAATTCTGAGATCGAACGATCGAAAGTTAAATCGAAAGTCTCAAACATGATAGAAAAATAATTATTAGATTGTTAACTGTGTGTGTGTGTGTGTCAACTGACAATCGATTTTAATTATACATATTTTGTGCATTATATATATATATATATCTTATCATTACTTTAAAAGTAGGAAAAGTTATCCGTTAAAGGTTAATAGACTTTATTTTTCTACATTTTATATTGATATATAGAGAAAATAAAATAAAAATATTATTTTGTTTAACATTATCAACAAATATAGAAAATTAAGTTGTAAAGGAAGATCATTAATTATGTTTAATACATATTTTTTATAGAAGGAGCACCATTACATTGCTGCATAGAGTTGACGAAAGCTAATTTATGAAAAAGCATTTATTAATTTTCAATTGAAAATATTTATCTAAATTATAAAAATAATACATCGTGTTAAAGTATAAACGTAATAATTATATTAATTGTATAATTGATATATAGTAGATATATTTATAAAATATTATATTTATTTACATACATAATGCAAATATTTTGATTTCTTTATAATTTGTTTTACTAATATTTCCACTTTTCTACTTAATATTTGTGTAGTAAATAGAGTTTTTAAATCCACGTTGCATACATATAACATGGCGACGATCAGCTGTCTTCTGTTATAATGGTATTCATATCGATAGAAAATTCGGCTATCTAATCGTAATTGTTGTTGCTATTAATAAGAATTATTCTATATATGTGCATGTGTTATGTTTAATTTCTTCAAATCAATTCCATTTAATCTGTAATTAAACGAGATATAAAGAAAAGCATTGAAAAAAACAAAGGTTTTCGCTTGAAGTAAGTTACGATTGAACGCGGCTGCGAGAAGAAAAGCAATATGGAGGCTAACGAATTAATCAACTGTTCAGAATAGTCAAAGAGATAGAAATGTTTAATAATATTGACACTTCTGGTAGTGTATGGTAATGAAATCGAGTGATGAACTTAACGTGATTTAGAAAGCCTTTTCGTGGCTACAGTAAAATAATCATGTGTGATGTGTGCGTTGACTTTCATGATCTTCTGCTCTCTTGTAAGTATAATATACACAAGACTATTTTATCTTAACCTGTTCTATTTCGCTATATACATTTTGTGTATTAACCTAGTTATAGGATTGTAATACAGAAAACTTATGAGTAGAGTAATTTATACATTAATATATATAATATGTACATATATATATATATATATATATATATATATCCGATACTGTGTTATTTTATATAAAATCGTTTGTTACAAGCCTTACAACCTTATATCAATTTCAGTTTTTTGATTTTGTACAGCATTAAAAAGAAAACATTATTTTAAACAGAGTTTGAAATAAAATTTAGTAGAAAGAAGAAATATTCTAGATCGCACATAAATTTGAACTTGTGTAATTTATATAACATTTCATATAAGTCTTAAATATATATTAAGAGAAATAATTTTTTCTATGCAGATGATGATCGAACGTCAAAAGAGCAAGATGTATTAACTACTTTATGTGTAGCTGATGTGGATACTACTTTACATTATGTTAATCAATGGGTACAAAGGTATATGATTCGTTTACAAAATTATGCATCTTCCATACTATATTCATACTGTAATTGAATCTCTTATTTAGTAAAAATATAATTTTTTATAATTTATAGACAATGTATGTGTTGTTATCGAGAAATTAAAAATTTTGATCGATTCATACGATTAACTCAAAGTATCGTTTTCTGCACATTGAAACAATTACAAACTATACATCAAAATGGACAGCACGATAATACAAAAGAGGCAGCCAAAGAAGAAAAAGAGGAGGAAGAGAGCACAGATAAAGGAAATGCAAGCGATACAAATCAAATATCTAGTTGGTCTCAACAAGACAGAGAAAAATTATTTCATCTTCTTTCAAAAATATTTTTACTCAATTTTCCTCTCTATATTGCAATGAAACATGGAGGTGCTATAAATCCATTAGCTCCAATTAAGGTAATATATATCATTGTAGTATATATATATATATCAATTAAAGTTATTCTTATTTATTTATTTTTTTGGAATTTATGAAGGACGAAGGAGGTTATTGCGAGCCTCATGACCCTGAAGTACCAGCACCTTTGATTCGTGCAGTATCTATATTTTGCCATCAGGGTGGTTTTAATTTAATGTCTGGCTGTTTTGATATGGAGAATACACTGCCTGTTAGCCTAGCACATTCTATGGTTGCAGTTATTTGTAATTTAAAACTTTGGCTAAACTATGGTAGTGTTATTCAATTATTTATACCTCTACGCAGTAGAGTTATGAAGTATATGTGCCGATTAGGAGATAAAGAATTACGCACGCCAGCAGTCAGGACTATGGCGGGTAAGCAGTAAAAATATTATAGTTGTAGAAATCAATCAAATTTGATTTCATGTATTTTTATGTTTTAAGATTTCATGTGGAGTGCAGTTAAAGATCCAATAGATACGGTATTACCAAGCTTCGATAAAGATGGATTAGATTTGGCCTTTAAATATTTTACCAGCACAACTTTAACTATGAGATTGGCAGGAGTAGCTCAAATTAATGCCCATATTACTGCATTTAATGAACTTTGCAATAGCGAAACAGTCGCTGAAGTTGAACAAGTAGGCCATGCCCTAGCTGCATGGTTGACTGAAAATAATATTATAGCTCATATATTTGGACCAAATTTACATGTAGAAGTTATTAAACAAAGTCATATTGTATTAAGTTTCTTAGCTATGGAAGGTAGAATTACATCTTCAGATATGGATACCATTTGGCAAGCTGCACAATTAAAACATTGTGGTCGTCCAGTATATGATTTATTAGCACCATTAGTAAAACACTTAGCACCTACGCCTGTTCTTCATTTATACTCTTTACTGGGAAAGTTAGAGCCTAAAGATCATACAGAGCAAAGTTTGTTTTTAGCATCAGCATTGATCAAATTTATTTGGACATCTGGTGGTTCGAGTTATTCAAGAAGTTTATCTATGAAAAACAGAGAACTTTTAAGAGGTGTTTCAAGTGGTGTTGGAGGAAGTAGTAGTAGTGACCCAAGTGGTATGGATGGTACAAGTCCCGACGAAGATGAAGAAGAACCTAGCCCTGCTTTATCCGATGGCCCGTCTCCGAGAAAACAAGCAAGAGGAGATAGTAGTGACGGAGAAGGTATATTAATTAGTATTTTCATTATCTCTTTCGATAATACAAATATAAATTAAAGAAATAATACACCATTGTTATTAGGTCCATTTAAAGGTAAAAGTTTGGAAAGCATTCCTGTTGAATCTAATTTAAATGAAGTGGAAGATCCTATTTCGGAAAAATCCGAATGCAATACAGAATTAACAAAAGACACAGCTAATGTATTGCAAGATGATACAAAGGACAAACAAAGCTGTTCTGACGTAGAAGCAGATACAGAAAAGTCTAATACAGAAGAACCAATAATTCACGAAAAGAAGAAAAGGAAAGTATTGCGAAAAAGAAAGAAACCTCAAAAACGACCAATAACAACAATTGAAAAAACATTAGAAGATATTGTTGGTCAAGAAGGTAGCATAAAGTCTAAAGAATCATTGACTAGTAAAAGTAGAACAGAAGATGTATTGGATGGTAGTATCGAATCTGGTACGCTTACTTCATTGGATGAATCAAAAGTCGTTGATACCCTTGACCGAGTCAAGCAACAGGCTATGGCTTTAGATCCAACTGATCAACAAGTGCCAACAACAGCATCATTGTTGAGAAGAGCAAGCAAAAATAAATATATGTTATTAGTAGGACATAATGTAGACAGAGCACCCGATTCTGCAGATACATCTCATGATGAAGATGATAGCAATGTAGCAGGAGTATTAGCTGCCGCAGATGGTCCAGGAGCTGTTATATCTGAACTTGCTGGATTAGTTCATGCAAGTGGACCTACTTTTTTACCTTCTGGATTAGATGAAATGCTTTCGGATGAAGAAGGTTCTTATAGTAGCAGGATATCTAATAAAAGTGAAAAGAATATGGCTGACTTTGATGGAGAGGAAAGTGGTTGCGAAGAAGAATTAGCACAACTGGCAGTACGTCACTTGACAGCCATTCAAATGCAAACTTATCATCCGCATCATTCCCATCCAACTATGACTATTAGAAGGTCCGTATGTCGTCCTACACAAGTACGAACAGTCCGCCAAGCAGTATCAAGATTGAATTCCCAATTTAATTTAGAGACCGTTTGTAAACCAGGAAATACATTATTGTGGGATCTTTTGCAAGATGATAAAATTGGTCAACTCGGAGAAGGATTAGCATTAGAAGCAGAGAAAGCATTATGTAATTTACTATGTTTTAATGTTGACCGTTTAATACCAATGAAATTTATTGAAGGTTGCTTAGAAAATTTAGCAACTAATCATTCTGTAGTTGTATCTTTGAGATTATTACCAAAGTTACTTGCAAGTTTCCAACAATTTGGTGCAATGGATGCGCATACTATAACAACATGGGCTGATCACGAACGTGGTATGATGAAACATTTTTTTAATAATTTGAAAACATACACTAGTAACGGACCAAAAAGTAGTTTATATTCGCATCAAACAGAAATTCAAGTTAGATTACAATTTTTGTCATCAATTTTTTCGCCTTTGGGCTCACCAGACTGTTTTCGTCTAAGTCTTGAACAAGTTGATATATTATGGCAGTGTTTATCCCAAGATCCAACATGTGCCGATGAACTTTTTAGTTGGTTATTAAGTCAAGCAAAATCTACAGAGCAACATGCCCTTGGAATGGATACATTGAAACATTTGTGTATGCGTAAACTTCCAAGTTTGCCACCTGAAACCATAAGCATGACGGGTCTTAGCCTTTTCCAACAGTTATGTAATTTAGCACGTTTAGCTGCCGCACATTTGGATAGACCTTTAAGAGATGTTGATTCGGTTGGAATGGATTTTCTATGGAAAATAGCTTTAAAAGCAAAAAGCACGGATGTCAGTATGGCAGCTATTCAATATTTAAATGGCTATTACATGTCTAGGCAATTATCTCAGGAAGCTGAGTTTGTTTCACAATGTATGATGCATCTTGCTGCAGCTAGTGCAGATTTAGAAATAAATGAAGAAGCTAGTTTGCGTTGTATACAGAGAGCATTACTATTATTAAGAACACATCTGGAAGCATTCAGAAAGCGTTATGCATATCATTTACGTCGTTGGATACTGGAAGGTAGAGGTGCAGGAAGTCATATGGCTATGAGTATGTCAGAAAAAGGACAACATATAAGAATCCTCGTCCAGCCTGCTGGAATACCAGAGAAAACAACGTTTACTCTTTTAAATACGGATTATGTTGCAGATTTGAGGGCAGAAGTTGCTAAGTGGTGGGATGATACTCAAAATAATCAAGATAAAGCAGCTACTTCTACAAATTCAACACAAAATACCAATTCAGTTCTAGGATCTCTTCTTACTGATGGTCCAATTAGAATGATTACGCAAGGTCAAGAATTAACGATCGATTTTGATGAAAAAACATTACAAGAAATGGGATTTAAAGACGGACAATTAGTGTTCACTTCACCCGGTGCTGGTCGTAATAATACTGGCCGATGTAACAAAAGAGATATGGATTCACCGTCTCTATTACCTCCCCCACCAAGAGAATCTTTGCCAACACTTCTTTTATTGCGACCACAATATTTTGAACAACTTTTCACATTGATGAGGACACTCAGCGCAATGAAGGTCATGGTTAAAGGAGGTCAAGAAATTCCACATACGAAAGCTCAGGTTCTTTCTAGAAGAGTTTGGGATACATTAACTTTACTACCTACTAGTCCAACATTATTGAGAGGCTTTCAAAAATTGGGAGAAACATCTTTACCTGATTTATTGGATCCTGCCAGTCCTCAAAAATTAATGTACTCTTTATATATAGTTGAATCTTTAAGTAGAAGAGGAACGGAATGTCAACAATCCTCTGTTTCTTCTGCCTTAAGTTCATCGCCTATGCACGAAGGTGGCGGTGGTGATGCGGATAACAATCACGATGAGAAAGAAAAAGATGTACCATGGTCAACAGTGTTCGTACAACATGGAGGTTTGCGACACTTATTTGATATTTTCATGTCCGAATGTTTGGAACAAGGAGATGGTAGCGAATGGCAACAAGATTGCCTTGCAAGTTTATTGAAACAATTATGCTATCTCGGTGTTGTCAGAGAAGAGAAGAAACGCAGTAAAGTAGATAAATTATTAGTACCTAAGCTTAGTGACGCAATGCTTTCCATGATGAATGTTAATACTGTTATGCCGAGAATAACAAGTATTTTGAATGAAGCATCATTACCACGCGACCCAAATCATTACAAAACAGGTGTCTTTGGTAGATCCCAAGTAATTCATTATACTATGGCATTATTAGTATGTTGGGTACATAGTGATCCGATTGTAAAACAAAGCTTATTCTTGTCATCTGAACCTTTTGGGAAAACTTGGTTACGTCGTCTTGTATTAGAAGATCCCGAACCAGCTGTAAGAAGAGAAGTGTGTACTGCTTTGTATAGATTATGCTTGGGAACTACAGGAACGGAAAATGATAATTCTGAAGCATCCGGTCTTATTGTACCGATGCTTAACACGTTACTTGAGCATCTTGTAATTGCGGAAGCTATGCAACCTTCCCACAGAAAGCCAGATTTACCGTTACATTTACATCCTGTTCTTGATGATGGCAAAGAACCATATGGGCCTGCTTGTAGAGATTATTTTTGGCTTATATGTCGTTTAGTTGACTCTCTTCCGGAGGAAGCTATTAAAGATGGCTCGGATGATATGTCTAACGGAAGTATAGACTTGGAAGCTTTGGCAATCAGAGTTATTGATTCTATTATTAATAGAGAACATCTCGAAATGCGACATAATACAGTGGAAGATGATGGCTTGGTTGGTTTATTAAATCTTGCATGTAATATTATGACTCATAATCCGCCTTATAAGCAAGGGAAAATCGGACAAAATTTATTACACGAAGTATTTGATTTTTTATTTTCATTGCCAAATCCACGATCGAAACATGTTCCGAAATGTAAAAGTCTAGTTTCTAGATCGGCAGCATTTGATTTATTGGTTGAGCTTGTTAAGTCTGCACCAGATAACTATTATATACTTCATGATAAATTGTTGACTCAACATAGGCCTGGTCCTCATTCTCCATATCCATGGGATTATTGGCCGCACGATGACGGACGATCGGATTGTGGATATGTAGGGCTTACAAATTTAGGTGCTACCTGTTACATGGCCAGTTGCATGCAACATCTTTATATGATGCCTCAAGCACGTATTTCTATCTTAGGAGCTGATTGTAATAGAGCTAACAAACATCAACTGACATTACGTGAATTACAACGAATGTTTGCATATCTGTTGGAATCTGAGAGAAAAGCATACAATCCTAGAAGTTTCTGTCGCGTTTATACTATGAACCACGAACCCTTGAATACAGGAGAACAGAAAGACATGGCTGAGTTTTTTATAGATTTGGTGTCTAAATTAGAAGAAATGACGAGTGATTTGAAAAATTTAGTAAAAACTTTATTCTGTGGTGTAATATCGAATAACGTGGTCTCGTTAGATTGCGAGCATGTAAGTCGTACGCTTGAGGAATTTTATACAGTTCGTTGTCAAGTAGCTGATATGAGAAATCTCTATGAAAGTTTAGATGAGGTTACTGTCAAAGATACTTTAGAAGGAGATAATATGTACACATGTTCTCAATGCGGCAAAAAAGCAAGAGCAGAGAAGAGAGCATGTTTTAAAAAACTTCCACATATATTATGTTTTAATACAATGCGATATACTTTTAATATGGGTACAATGCTTAAAGAAAAAGTGAACACACATTTTAGTTTTCCTTTAAGATTGGACATGTCGGGTTATGTAGAGAAAAAATTGATGCCACAGCATTATCAAGAAGAAAGAAAAGCATCTGGTAATAACAAAGTTGAGAATAAAGAACATACTGCTTTGGATGGCGAGGAAGAAGAAGAAGAAATGGATCATTATCAATATGATTTAATTGGCGTTACCGTACATACTGGTACAGCTGATGGAGGACATTATTACAGTTTTATTAGAGATCGTACTTCTCCAAATAAAGACAAATGGTTTTTATTTAATGATGCTGAAGTTAAACCATTTGATCCAAATCAAATAGCAGCTGAATGTTTTGGTGGTGAAATGACCAGTAAAACGTATGACTCTGTTACAGACAAATTCATGGATTTCAGCTTTGAAAAAACGAACTCAGCCTACATGCTTTTCTATGAGTGGTGTACTGATCCTGGTGATCAATTAAAAGAGGATGAAGCTACTGTTTCCAGCCCAACTAGTTTACGCTCTTCTTTGCTAAGTCATAAGCAAACTAATAAATTGCCTCCTTTAGAACTAAACAAAGAGCTAGAAGATTGGATATGGCAAGATAATATGCACTTTTTACAGGATAAAAATATATTCGAACATACATACTTTACTTTTATGTGGCAAATATGTGGTTACATACCACAAACATTGCTTTCCGTTCAACCGGATATTACAGAAATGTCCGCTGAACTTTCTACCTCTTTTTTTATGGAAACATTTATTCATGCTAAAGAAAAGCCTACCATGGTTCAATGGGTTGAATTGCTTACTAAACAATTCAATGGTTCTCCTGGCGCTTGTGCCAGATTTCTTGAAAGAATGGCTAGTAATTCATGGTGGCCTATACAAATATTAGTAAAATGTCCTAATCAAATGGTAAGACAAATGTTTCAAAGATTATGCATTCATGTAATTCAACGATTACGTGCTACAGAAGCACCTCTCTATCTGCTTTGTGACGAAGAAAACGATTTAACCACTGTTGGCACTCGATCGTGCGTAACGAGATTCGTTAGAATGCTTTTATCTTTGATGGAACATGCTAAGCAACATTTAAAACATCTTACAGAATATTTTAGTTTCTTATATGAGTTTAGTAAAATGGGAGAAGAAGAGACATTATTTCTTATACGAGTACAAGCCATTTCTACAATGGTAAACTTTTATCTGGGTCATAAAACACACGAGTTCGTTGATGCAGTTAGCGAAGAAGAAGAAGAAGAAGAGATTGTAGCGGTACCACCAGATAAATTGAGACCAGCTTCGTTAGATAAAATGATTACGTTAATAGCAACATTGGTTGAGCGTAGTAGAGGGACGGATCATAGGTAAGAATCAAATTCTTCATAAAATATTCATACTATGTAGGGCCTAAAATAAATAATTGCTGAGATATTCACAAATAAGAGACAGTAAAAAAAAACAGTCAAGATAACATAAAGTAAACCACGACCCCATTTTTTCAAAAATAGGCTAGCTTTGCTAGTAATTAATAAAATAATATTAATTTTAATGTAAAAATTATTTAACAAGCAATAAAAGTTGAATATTTTTTTGATTTTATAACATTTATTTTTATTTCAATGGACTTGTGCTTTCTTAAGAATTGAAAATGTCATTTTATTGATTTTGAAAGTGGCATAAGTCCAATCACAGCCATTAAAAACATATTATTTCTTAAATAATGTTAATTATGCTAATTGGAATAATAAATTTGATACCCTTAGAAACCCAAAAACATTATTCTACTATGTCATCTGTTATCTATATTTTTAAATTAAATCCACAAACCCTAAAATATCTCGATTTGAACATAAATGGACTTATGCCACTTTCAAAATAAATGGCTCTTATACATACATTTTAAATTAAATTTTTAGATTAAAATTCATTTATAAATATCTGTATGTAACGTAACAGCGAATATTCAAATATAATTTTCAATTTTACAGATTAACTTTATCACCAACAGATCTAAGTGCAGTAGCAGGAGGTAAAGGATTTCCATTTCTATATCAGCAGACACGAGATGTCATTAATTTGAATCAAACAAGAAATTTAATTCAGTCTTTGTGTCGATGGAATGATAGATTGGCCATACATATTGTGACAATGATTTTTCAAGCGATAACGAAACATAATGATTTATCTCATCCATTTTTTAAACTCTTGACATTGCTTACTGAAAGTTCAGGTCCTAGTGGATTACCTTGCATGACACAATTAATTTTGGGCAGAGTATGGGAAGCAGCTAGAGTTGCACCTCATGGAGCTCTCGAATGGTTGGCTCTTGCTGTTACCAGAAGCAAACTTGCCCATGCATGGGTTTTACAAGGATTAGATACTTGGTTGCAACATTTCCTTCTTGAACATTCAAACCAACGAGTTCGTTCCGCTGCTGCTTTTCTTTTAGTATCACTCGTACCTTCAACTCATTTTAGGCAAGGATATCGCAGTGCCCATCGATTGGGATTAGGATGTAACACATCTAGAGAGCTTCAATTATCTCCAGAAGCTACATTAATATTGCACCAGATTTATACTGCACTTTTAAGATTATTGCAGCCTGCAAGACATTATATCGATTTACAAACTCATGGTACAATGAAACTCACTGCCTATTTTGCATTGCTTACATATTGTGTTGTCTCTAAAACAGAGAAATTGATGGTATATATATTTTACGTATTACGGTAGATTTTGTTTTTAATCATTGTTAAATAAAACAAATAATTATTAACAATTATTCATTTCAGTTTGGACAATATTTAAATGATTTATGGACATTATTTCATCCAAAGCTTTCGGAACCAAGCATTCCAGTACATCATAACAAACAAGCTGTATTATTATTTTGGTATCACGTTTGCTCTGATTGTCCCGAAAATGTAGCAATGATACTCCATAATCCACATATAACCAAAAATATTGCATTTAATTATATACTGTAAGCTGTTTCTTAACTTGATGCGTAAATAAGCTCTCCCTGTTCGGAAGAAATAAATTAATTTTATTTATATTTCTATAATAGTGCCGATCACGAAGATCAAGATGTTGAATTATTTAATCGAGTAATGTTACCTGCTTATTATGGTCTGTTACGACTTTGTTGTCAACAATCACGAACATTTACGAGACAATTGGCTGCGCATCAAAATATACAGTGGGCTTTTAAAAATATTACACCACATCCTACTCAATATTCTACTGTAAGTTCTTATGTATTGATCGTATACAACTGATATTTATATTTAAATATAATTTTTTCATTTAGGCTGTAGACGAATTGTTCAAATTGATGCAACTACTAGTTGCTAGGCATCCAGATCAAACAGAACAAGAAGAAGCTGAAATTGCATCATTTAGAAGAGGTACATTATCTTCGTATTTACAAGGATTGGATGGTCGTTCCTGTTGGGCTACATTAATTTCTGCATTTCGGTATGCTATTTGTCGATGTATTTATCTCATTGTAAAATAATACATAAAGTAATATATATATATCTTTTTTTCTTTTTGTCAGGATTCTTATAGAATCGGATGATGATCGTTTGTATGTTGTATACAATGGAGGTTTAAGTATGGCTCTTGAAGCTTTCCATATGTTACATATAATGTACCATGAAGCAACTGCATGCCACGTGGCTGGTGACTTAGCTGAATTAATAGCCATTATTGTAGAATTAGTCAGATGTATTCGTACAGCAAGAGATGGACCAGACGCAAGAAATATTCTTGCCAATTGCAAGGAGTGGCCAGATGTTTTAAGAAAATTGGCAACATTATTAAATACGTATAATCCACCAGATATGCGTAATTTGGCAATCGATCTTTTGAAAGAACTTGTCATGCTCGTTCCTGCCGATGCTATACTTGTTTTAGCACCATTATTATCTCATTGTCATGCAGCTCTTCAGGAGTCTCAAGCAGCTGTTCCACCTGGGCCTTATCTTCCAAGGAGATCTACGCCTCCAGGAAAAATGCCTACAAGACCGGCTAGACCGATGGTGCAAATGGCAGTACCACATTCGCAACTTGAAGCATCCAAAGGAGTAGATGCAGAATATGACAGCGCTTTGCTTGAATTTTATTTACCATATCATGAATTGATTGATGTTATGTGCAGACTTGCAATCAATAATGATTGCATGACAGAAACATTGGTTAATTTAAGTGCTATGTTGGGATTTGAGGGTAATTATAATATATAATATTTAATCCTTTGCACTCGGCGCCGTTTCGGACGTTACTTACCAGCAGCTTGACGCTACTTTGTCGCGGCAACGTATATTCTGGAGTCGTCATATTATACAGTATAACTTTGGAACTAAGTAAGGTATTGTGATGATGTTTAGTTTATCTGAATTTGTGGACACCGACGAACATATATTTGCAAACAAATCAGAATTCATTTCTTATTCTTTTGTAAAGTGTGATAAATTCTCCAGCAGTCCTTAATATGTATTGCTGGTTTATTTTTGCACATTACGCAATAATAACTTATTACATGCCCTACACTTGGTATTTTCCTGTTAGAAATGCAATAAAGTCCCGTTTTTTTTCTCTCACATCGGGAATATGTAATGTATTTATTAGTCTATCGTCCGACAAAGATGTTGGTGAACGTTCTCGGAAGTAGGTGCCGAACAATATGATATATTTTTCATTTAACTTAGTAATTGTATCATATTTTCAATTGATTATTTTTACTATTTCAGTAGAAAACTACAGGGAAAAAAGGGATTCTCAATAAGTTGCGGTAGAATAAGTTCACTAATATATATTCACTAATAAACTAAAAAACGATGTCACGGTATGACATTCGAGCTATGTGCTATACTTACTTTGTCACTACTGTAGTGACAGCCGAGTGCAAAGGGTTAAATAGAAATGAAATAAATCATAAATTTGATCACCAATTTGATATTCCAGGCGTTCCCTTACATTTGGCACTATTTCCAAGATTATGGTTGGATGTACATGCTGCCACACATATAGACAGAAAGCATATAGCATCTCTTCTTTGCTCTTCCTATACAGTGGATTATGTAGATGCTGTCCTGCTAGATGAAAGATCTTCATTAGGTGTACCTGCGATACATGCCTTCTTAAAAACTTTTTTCCCTAAACTCGCCAATCATGTACTAACTGACCAAACCTGCCTACTTATTGATAACTTAGTTAGTTCTATGACAGCAATGGTGGAAGCTGTTGATATTCAAGCATCTGCTCATAGACTAACTGGCGATTTACGAGCTTTAGCTCTTGTTTATAGTAGCAGTACAAGACTGAAATCACCTACTAGCTTACAGTCGGCTTTAGAAACTTTATTATCGCGTACTCGAACAATAAAAGTTAAAGAATCTAATCAACAGGAAGTAGAGGCACCTTCGAAAAAACGTAAGTTTAATGTAATCGATGACAGTGACCAAACTAAAAAGGAACTACATCAGATTACAGAAATTGATGAACAGAAAACCGTTTCTAACATAGATATTGAAGATAAAAACATTGTAGAGCAAAACGATTCGACTTCTCCTGACCCTATAGATGACAAAAATACTTCACGACACAAGGATAATGCTCAAATGGAAACTATTACTACAAATGCCGGCTCAATATCTACAAATTTAGTTACCACTGTGACATCGAATAGCTGTACAAATCAGTTACGATGTTCTTTAACTAACATGTCGCGACTTGAAATGTTAGAGAAGACCATTGTGGATTTACAAATGATCGTGCAATTACAATCGAAAAATAATTAGAGAGTTGCATGTTTTCGACCGATGCTTTTTGTGTCAACGTACTATATAGGGGGATTGACTTCACACGAAAACGTGTGATTATTTGTGAAAATCAAGTAAAAGTTCAGTTATATCTCTCGCAACTAAGTGAAAGATTTTTAGTGCATCTGTACTTTGTAAAGGGAAAAACAACAGCAACAAAAAAAGAAACAAAACAAAAAAGAAAAAAAAGATACGTGTATACACATATTTGTATGTATGTATGCGTGCGTGTGTATATCAATCATGATTTACTTCTTGACTGAATAACAATCATCTGCCGATAAACGTTCGTTAATGCTGTGAGATTAGATATCTTATAGCAAGATATATACTTTTTAACACGTAACAATGTAAACCGCCCAGTATTCAGGAATGAAAAGTGCAAGAAATCTTGTGACACTGTTGCAAAAGATTTTAGGTCTATAATTGTCTTGCATTTCTACACTTCATCTCAAATTGGAATAGGAAGACAGGGTTTTTTAACTTGTGAAAATAATGTGGTAGCAGTGTCCTTTTGCTTAGCCTGGAAACTGTCTGTTTTTAAATATCCTTCAACTTTAAATAATTTTCACAAAATTTTTTCATTTCATTATTGTAAGATAATATGTGCCACGTCTTTACGTGGCTCTTTAAAAGTGTGTAACTCAATATCTAAGTTATTAAATAAGTACTACCTGACACATGTCGATGTGGATCTCCTAAATGTCGAAAGTCTAACTTAACTATTTCATTTACATATACTTGATGTAAAGAGAAATATTCAATATAGTTTCTTTTTGTTTGTACTGTAAAATGTGTCAGTTGTATTATAAAGCAATGCATATTTCTCTCTCTCTCTCTTTCTCTCTGTCTCTCTATCTCTATCTCTCTCTCTTGTGTGTTTGTAAAAAATATTCGATCAATAAGAATGATTCCAAAAAGTATGGAAAATGTAACAAAACTACATAATACAGAATACAAGACATATTGTGAGTTTGTACATTTTGTTTAAGTCAATGATCACGAACTCATTACTGAATTTGCTAGAATATTACGTGTTTCTTCTCATAAAATACATATTTGATCAAGCCATGGAGCATTATAATTCAAAGATTTCTTTCAAATGATTCTATTTTTTCATACCTTTTTATTTCTTTCTTTTTCTTTATTTGCAAGAAAACTTATTAAGATATAATATCGCTTGGATTTATTTCTTGTACATAGAATAAAATCTTATAATTTACATTTATATTTTGTTACATTATATAGACCTTAATGTAATTATAACAAATACGTATAAAAAGCAAGCTATAATATTCAAAAAATCTTAAATTGCTCTCTTTCTTAATAATAAAATGAAAATATTACAAACATCGTAAATAAACAGTTGTGATAATTCCTAAACTGCAACTTATGCAACATATCTAGTTTTTACTTTAAATAGATCAGTTTGCGAAGAATTTATATAAAACCATTTTGATGTATAGTGATTTTAAACATTAAAATATGAAAAACATGCATCAAATAATAAATAATCTATTAATGTGATAAAATTTATGCAATGACACCGATAATGCAGAGTAATATTGCAAAGAATTTCTCTAGTCCTTCACTTTATTACACATATAGATGTATGGCTTATCATAAATGTTTTAGATTCTTACATTAAAGATATTTGTGAAAATAATATTATGGGGAAATTGAGCTAATTATAAGTGTGCTTTTGATAAGTTTAAGTGCTTATGGCATATATTATCCTAATAGGCACACGCATATATTTCAAATACTTACAAATATTCAATTTAAAAAGAAAGATATAATTTTATAAGAAATTATACAAATCTTATAATAATAATCAATAAGCGTAAAAGATAAAAGTAATCGAATGTATCTTATGTGTGAACGTATAGAGGAAGTAAAACGAGCATTTGTATTTTATTTTTTTAATTGAAGCTGCATAAACTATTCATTTCTATGTTATGATTTGATCACATGGATGTGGTTTTTACTTTGAACTTTTTTATATATATTTATATAATTGATGTTATATTTCCGAACGATATAGAATCTATTTTCAAAAAAATTGAAGGAGGTAAAGAAAACAAAAATAAGACAAGAAATTACTTGAGTCTTATCTATGTACTTATTAACTACGGTAAGTATTGATATTATTGCGGTTAAAGTTTAAAGATGAATAACTTAATAAAATATAAATATTTTTTTCTTGACAAAAATATGCATAACCAATCAGTATTAAAGAAATTTAAGTAAAACTAATATAACGAGAATCATATATATATATATATATATATAACTATCAATTAATTTAATTAATTTTTTAAAAATCCATAGCTATTTTTGCAACTTGATAACTAGTGATTGTTGCAATAGGCGACGATATATATATCGTGCAACAATATAAAGTATTTTTATTCACTAATTAATATTATAATATTTCTTGTTAATGTTTTAGTAGTTAAATGATACTTATTTTCAGTTAAAAAATTAAATTTCATTTTACATTAACCGCCGCAATGTTTAGTACATAGTATCCTGCTTGCGTACATTACTGCGGTTAAATCATATGAACGTTTAACCAATAAAATTTTATGTTCAATAGCAAAATAAATTTTCATCTGTGTTTAACATTAGTAATAAATCTATTATATCTTAATTACTGGAAAAATAAAAAATTAAATAAAAAGCAAAGTAATAAATTAAAAAAACGACGATGTGAATATAAGAAAGAATATCTATTGCAGGCTTTAGAAGAAATTCTAAAAGGAAAAAGTATTGCAGACATGTATAGAAAATATAATGTTCCTGAATCAACATTAAGGGTTAAAAAAATTGAAAAGTATGTCAATCAGAATTCAGGAAGAAAATGATCTGGTAAAATGGATTTTTCATTGTAGTAAACACGTGTTCAATGACAAAGTATCAACTTATATAAAAGGTTAAGTTACTGTGTGACAATGATAAAAGAAAAACTCCATTCCTTAATAATGAAAGTCTTGGAATATGATATTCATTTGTGGTTTACTGAAATTAATATTTATTTAACTAAGGAAGAACTGTTTTCAACTGACTCTCGCAGGGTTTTCAATAGCGATGACATAGTCATTTTGATGAATCATCGGTATTAATTGCTCCGAAAGGTTGTAAAAATATCTATAATATTGTTAACACGTTGACTACCGCACATATTTCACATGATTTACCTAGAGCGCCTACATGAATTTTTTATTATGGGGTGTATATTTTGTCGAAATTTTGTTTACAGTTGATAAAGGGATTTGTATAATTCTGTTTAACACGTTCACGTCGGCGCCGATTTTTGTGTTTCTCCATCTGGCGGCGCTGCTTTTTCTATTTCCCGCCATGGGGTGGCGCGCATATTCAAACGTCTTAGGTTACTATTTTAAGGGGCACACCTAGTATGAAATTTTGAGAAAATTAATTTTTTTTTCATATTTTGATAGTGGATATCTTTAAAAATAATATACTGAAATTTCAAATAAATATTTCAAATAGTATTAGAGTTACAGCATTCTAAAGAGTACCTGCTCAGGGATTAGAAAGCAATCATTTTATCTTTGAACGCGTTTGTCTCAAAACTGCATTTTCCAAATTAGCTGCAGTTATAACTCGAAGAAGAATCATTTATATTCTTTAAAAAGAATTTGTATAACTTAAGGATAGAAAAACTTAAAAAAAAAAATAATTCCCCCACAAAGAATCGAACGGTAACTACCCGCGTGAGAAGCAGAGACGATACTACTTATGCTAGCGTGTCATTTGACAAAT